CTTCTTTGGATCTTCTTAAAAATATAAAAGTAAATAAACTTCTCCATGTTTCACGAAGCTTCTCCATGTACTTTTTTATTAAAGCAATTTCATGAAGCTTCTCCATGTTTCATATATATATATATATATATATATTTTTATCAGTTTTATAATATATTTAAAAATATATATTTAATTGCATATAATTATATTTTTAAACTCTAAATTTGTTTGATTTTAAAAGAGTTTTAGTTTTATTTTTTGTAATTTTTTTCCAGCATGAAAGGTGAAAAAGTTTATGTCAGAAAAGGTAGATTTATTAATGAAGTGCAGTTAGATAGTTATTCCAATGGAACTCAAGATGTTGTTAGCAGTGATGATGAATCAACACAACAACCAGATGATGAATCAACACATATAACAGATGATGAATCAACACAATCACCAGATAATTGGCAAGAGTTAGTGTCTGACACAGGTAACATTAACATATTAAAATTTAATTATATAAATTTTGATTTAAATTAAAAGTCAGTTCAAATTAAAGTTTAAAGATGTTGAGTCAAATTTAAATTTCATTTTTGTAGATTTTTCTGATTTTTTAAATATTCAGATTCAAAAATTAAAAAAAGGAATGCACGGGGGTCATACAAATCCATTTCAATATTTATAAAAACTCAAGGTGGGAAAAAAAAATTAAAAGTTGAAATACCTGAAGATAAAGAGCACCCAGTTGGAGAGCATGCTCGTGACTTGGCAAACATGTGTGGGCTTGTAGTGAGAGAGACAGCACCATTGAATGTTAATAATTGGGAGGAAGCATTCACATTAGCTGGTGATCGAATGTTAAGTCAAATTCAGGTACTGATACAATAGTTATATTAAATTTATATGTATAACTTTTTTTAATTATGATTGCACGATTTAATTCATGAGTTATTAATTTTGTTTTTCAGGAAAAATTTGAATTTCCTAAGAATTCAGAGAAATTAGTTGATTTTTGTATTAAAACTATGGGGAATCAATATAGGGGATGGAGGAATAAGCTGTATAATCTATACAAGAAATACAACAATGATACAGAAAGATTAGATAATTGTCCAGAAGGGATATCTGAAGAACAATGGACTTACTGTGTTGGATACTTTGGTTCGGAAGAATTTCAGGTAATAAGTTTTATTTACTGAATATTATTAAATTAAAAAACTAAATGTTGACAATAATATTCTGATGTACTTTATTTTATATAGAAAAAAAGCAAGCGAAATTCCAACAATGCCAAAAAGAGGAAAAGAATTCATACCACTGGCAATATATCGTTTGAGGAATTTGAAGCTAGATTGGTAAGCTCTTTATTGCAAATTTTTTTTTTAAAGCAAAAGTAATATTTATTGATACAAAGTACAAGAGGTACCCCAAACCCGTAAACATCTCAGTTTGAAAGACCAAGAGTTACATAATCAAATAACCTTTCCGTTCGGTGTCGACACCTATATTGTGTGTCGACACCATGTCCGTGTCGGAGATTTGGGGCTCAGTTCTTCCGTTTGGTGTCGACACCCTAATAAAGTGTCGACACCACGACCGTGTCGGGTTTCACATTGCTCAGCCCTTTCAAAATACCATAACCTCCCTTGTTGATATTTTTGGCTCTAGGTTTCCTTAGTTGCATTTCTAGTACCTTTCAACTGTTTGCAGCATGGTTGAATTCCTCAGCCTCCTCACACTCAGCTCTTTATTGAATTAAGTAATCTATAGGTTGATAATTAACAAATGAGTTGTTACTTTATTATTTTTTTTTTTACTAATATTCTATTATTTTTATTTATGTATTATTAGAATGATCCTATGAAGAAGATAAAGTTATCTCCTGCAGAAGTTTGGTTGCGTCAGCATTCTCGAGAGGTAGAAAAAGGAAATTTTGTCTGGACAGATCCACAATCAAAATTAATTGGAGTAAGTTTTGAACATATTTTATATATAATTATTTTTATGATATTTGGATTTAAATTTTTTAGGTTATATATTTTCTAATGTATTTAGATTTTTTTAAGTATAAGAAACAAAAATAGAAAGAGATTGTAGAGGTTGATCGGTCCCTATATATATTCTAATATGGTGTCATCATTTTTTTTTTTTTGCCCTTTTAGGGGAAGATGATATAGTCACAGATGATTTCACCTATCTAAATCTTATTAAGTAGTTAGGGTACGCGTTGCGATTGGTAGATGAAAATAAGATAATTTCACCTATCTAAATTCTATTAAGCAGATAGGGTACATCTTGATGGATAAAAAAAACATCTACACACAATTTTTTACTTTTTATTTTTTTGGAAGAAAAATGAATAACTAACATATTATATATGTATTGCAGGAAGGCATACAACGTTTGTTAGATGAAAATACAAAAAAAGGAATTGAAATGTCAAATAAAGATATATATGATCATGTTTTGCAGCAGAGCTCTAACCAGGGAGTTGGTAATGGTAGCAAACGTCCACTTTTATCTGAGCTTGTGAATCAACAAATGAGGATCAGAGAATTAGA